GCTGCCTTGTTTCCCCAGCCACTGTGCAAGAACCAGGAAGAACCAGGGTGGCCACCTCCCAGCCAGCACAGGCTGGGAGCCAGCAAGACTCCTCCAGCTGCTTCCACTTCGCATCCCCTCCCTCTGTGAGGCTGCTGACTCCAGGCCCACAGGGGCTGGGAGCTAGCAGTTCTGTAGGGATGGAATAGCCTCTGCCCCCAGTGTGGGGGCCTCTCCCTCCCCCCTCGTCCATCTCCTGCTTAATCAGTTAACCAGTCATTTAACCGGATAACTAATTAAACAGGATTTTACATCACGAGCATGGTGCTAGGCTAGGCCATGCGGATGTGTGTGACAAATGGAACCGTAGGATATTTGTACTACGTGGGTTTATTCCTGATTCTGTTCACCAGGCCATAAATCAACTAACTTTCAATGATGAACTCCCCGGGAAACACATGCTGAATGGCATGTTTCCATGGGTGGCTGGGTAATTCCTGGTTTGGGGATGCAAGCCCCAGACCTGCCCCTTGTGTCCAAGGCCTCACCCCTTTTGTGCCTCCTACAACCCAGGCCCCCTACCATTATGGCCACTGGCGCCTGTCTAATGCTAGTGCCTTCCCACCAGTGCTGGACAGCCGCCCAGCCCCAGCTCTGACCCTGGCCCAGACACCCCCCTTCCTCCCTGGAGCAGCCTGACAGCCACGACACCAGCTTCTCTGCCTGGCCTGAACTCCAGCTGTGCCCTTCTCCCTGAGCTGAGCAGCCACCCCATTCCATCCCCACCCATGGCAGCACAGCCTCAATGATGGAGCCCCCCAGCTTCAACAGGCACCCTAGAGAGCAGCCTGCTTGTGAGTAGGCAGGGCCACCCATGGCTATGAGGGAAGATACTGCTTTCCCTTGCTTTTCATTACCCACTGCCCATGCACGTTCCCCAGAGCAGCTACCATACAAAGATTAATAGCTACAGAGCTTAGGAAAGAGTGTACTCCAGTACCTTACAGATAAGTGGGGTGTGTCTACGTAGCACTTGGGAGGTGTGATTGCAGTGAGTCTAGACAGACCCAAGCTAGATCTAGATCAAAGCTAGCTTAAGTAGAGGTAAAGCCGTGGCAACACAGCTAACCCAGGATTATGTAGGTGCTTTGTATAGCCACCAACCGGTGCTGTAGCTTCTCGAATATTGTTCAGTTAGCTTGAGTAACTAGCTAGATTTTGCTACACATGCTGTCATGGCTCCTGAGTATGGTGTAGATAGACATACCACAAGTGTGTGTAATTGAAGTTTAGCTTCACACTTGCAGTTTACTGCTGTGCCTCCAAGATACAGCCTAACCCAGCTCCAGATGAAGTGAAGGGCAAAATTCCTTATTGAATTCCATGGTGAAGAATCGGACTCTTTGAGCACTTGCTCCAAGTCCTTGGAGAAGTGCTCGCTCCTCCCTGTGACACACAATTCATGTCCCTCACTTCAAAGAATTGTTTAGATCATGTCTTGCTCTCTGCATGAAGAGAATCCATAGGCAGTTGATTGCAATGCTTTTTCCCATGCTTCCGCAGGCCTTACTCTTGCACAGTTTCCTTTGACAAAACACTAGGGACCTTGATTCTCTGAGGCCCCAAGCACTATGTGCTGCCACTAACTTAACTTCGTGTTAGAGATGCTCAAGGCCTCTAAATCAGGCCCCATAATACTCTGTCGGTGAATGTTGTGCAGACCTCAGAACTGCAAGTGTGGGGAAAGTATCTGGTATAGAGATCCTTGTGCTGCTGGCTGAAGGAAAGAGGCAGCAGTAACATCAGACAATCTCTTATTATTCAAGTTGTTCACGATTAGTTTAGTCTCAAGAGAAGCATTCAAACTGGTCATCAAACACGAAAGATCAAAAACTGGTGGTGGTGGTGATCACTGTTAGTACAATAGGTGACATTTCTACAGCACAGTTAGTTGAATGCTCATTAAGGAAGTTAAACCTCCCATTACCACAGTGAGCTACCTAAACATTATCTTCATTCTGTGATTGGGTAAATTGAGGCAAAGGGCAATAATGAAACTTCCTTTTTTCTAGGGTTTCTTTAATTCTCTTCGGCCTGAACTTTATGAATACCCTGAGATAATAATTTCCAACATCTGTCCAGGACCGGTCCAATCCAAAATTATACACAATGTCTTTACTGAAGACCTCTCAAAGGTAAGAAGGTCTTTGAATTTCCCTGCCTGAAATTCTGCTATAGTAGAAGCTAATTTGGTTACAGGCCAAGTAAAATCTTCATTATATTTTCTGATTTAGAATCGAGCTCCTCCCTGCTGGCAAACACTAAGCTGAGAATCTTTGCTGCTGGATCGAGCTCCTCCCTGCTGGCAAACACTAAGCTTCCAGCAGCAAAGATTCTCAGCTAATGAATAACCTCCAGTGTAATAAAGGAAAATTACATAGGCCCAGATTTTTAATGGTATTTAGGCACGGTGCTCAATGATGCAATGCCTCATTGATTTAGGAATCTAAAATCTTACTTTTCAAGTGATCTAGACACTTAAGAACCTAAAATTCCATTGCTAATAGCTAGAGGCAGCAGTGCAGGGTGGGGAGGTGTCGAGCAGCACTGGAGAGCCAGTGCTGGGGGACCTGGTTTTGAAGTCTGTTCCCTGCCAGCATCAGCTCCTGCTTCCCCGCTGCCTCTGATACAGAGGCAGTGGGGGGGGAGGGGGGGAGAGGGGGGGAGGCGAGGAGGAGGATGCTAGTCAATTTGATTAACTGATAAGGCTTAACCTAGGCTTATAGGTTAATCAACTAGTCAATTAGTCATTCACATCCCTAATCTAAATACCTCTAAGATCTGGGTCTTAATTTCTAACTTCATATGTAATCGCATCCCTTACACTCCTTTGCAAATATTGTACCTTTCCTTTCCTCTTGTGCAGATGTGTTCCTTTCTTTGTGGGTGATTTGATTTGCTGTACACCCTCCCATTCTGGGCAACCTGGAACCTGTCACTATGGAGCCAAACAGTGATTGCAAGCTCCTTGTATAGTAACCTGTTAGTGAGAATCACCCTGTTCTCCTTGCATAGAAGCCCTTTTGCAGCTACGAGGGAAGGGTCTGGATTAGTCCTGTAGAACTTTGAAATGCAGAATACATTAGCTGCCACATAAGCAACTTCTGTCTGCTCAGCTCACACAGTTCCCTAGTTCCCTAGCCTGTTGACTCTATGGTGCAATCATTGGCAAAGCTCCTACTGTCAACATCTTCCAGGCATGCATTCTTATTTCCTATTCAAAGCCAAAGAAAATCTTTCAAGTTCCAAAACTATTTCAACTATACTATCCTACAAAAAAAACAAACCCCTCCTAGTAATTGAAATTAGCAAACACTGTTTTGTCTGCAACCATACCTAGTATAATTCCACAGCATGGGGGAGAACAGGCCACCCTCCTGTACATCTGAGCTTTAGACACAATGTTTTATTTTTTGTGGAGGCAATCTAATTAGAACCTTACTGAGACCAAAACTCAGAAGAGCAGCATCTCAATACAACTCTTTAAAAACTTTCAGGCATCTAGGGGCAAGAAGTCTGATCTTGCCTCTATCCACATCAATCAGGGAGTGTTTTCCTTAGCAGCCTGCTCACCATGTTTAAGTAGGCCAGATTTTTGAACCTCATTGGATTCAAAGAATGGTTAATATTGAAATGTTAGCATAGAAAAATGCAAAGCATTCTGGTTGTGTTTTTTGACCAGCAGGTGTCCTTGATATGAATTTGGGGTTCAGTGGTGTGGGGCTTCTTTTTGGAAAGGTAGGCCTAAAGATCTCACAAAGGACACCCAAAACAAGTATGTATGTAACTGATCTTCCATTTTCATCATAGCTAGATCCAACACGGCACCTTAAAGTATAACTAGAACATTTATAAAATCCTGCTCATGAGCGTCTCCTGCTTTCTATTTGCTGAAAGTATGTAAACCAATGCTCTCGCCAGCGGTGGACTCTTCCACTGGTTCATCCACAGGTCACAAAGTTAAAATGTATGTCATCCACACCAGCTTCTTTAGAATTCGAGTCTTAAAGCCTGCTCTGCAGTGTGACTCCTGTCTTCTGACGTTAGTACCAGTAAATCCACTTTTATTCAGCTTTACTATATCCAGTTTCCTCATGAGCGTCTCCTGCTTTCTATTTGCTGAAAGTATGTAAACCAATGCTCTCGCCAGCGGTGGACTCTTCCACTGGTTCATCCACAGGTCACAAAGTTAGAATGTATGTCATCCACACCAGCTTCTTTAGAATTCGAGTCTTAAAGCCTGCTCTGCAGTGTGACTCCTGTCCTCTGACGTTAGTACCAGTAAATCCACTCTTATTCAGCTTTACTATATCCAGTTGTTGAGTACTTGCACTGGCTATTTCCCTGTGCATGGCGACTTAATTTATAAGCACACTGGCTCAGCTTAAAAGCCATTATAAAGGGAGGAGCTGGCATAGACAAAGACAAGTGTGCTGATTTACTCATTATTCTTCAATGAAGATGTACTGATTTCTGGATGGGAACAAGATTAATATTCTGGTATGAGAAGGCTGGTGTGGCCCCTATCTTTGAAGAATCCATGTGGTTCTGCTGCATGGAAGAGTGAATGAAATGTCTGAGGCTATGTCTATGTCTTTTGCGGAAGAGTTCTTCTGCAAAAACTCTTCCACAAGAGAGCGTTTACACTGGCATGTGCTTTTGCGCAAGAGCATCCATGCCAGTGTAGACTCTCTTGCGCAAGAAAGCTCTGATGGCCATTTTAACCATAGGGCTTTCTTGTGTAAGAAATTCATGTTGCCTGTTTACACTAGCCTCTTCTGGAAGAGCTCTTGCGCCAAAGGGCTTCTTCCTGAGCGGGAGCGTCAGAGTTCTGGCGCAAGAAGCCCTGATTTTATACATTAGAACGTCAGTTTACTTGAGCAAGAACACACGGCCAGTGTAGACGGGCAGCAAGTTTTTGCGCAAGAGCGGCCGCTTTTGCACGAGATCGTGCCAGTGTGGAAACAGCCTGAATGTAGCAAGTGCATGTATTCCACACAGAACCCAGTTCAAGCTTTTGCACGAGATCGTGCCAGTGTGGAGATGGCCTGAATGTAGCAAGTGCATGTATTCTGCACAGAACCCAGTTCAGTAAGGTGTTCCCTTTTCTGACAGTAACAGATATAAGCTAAGAGGGGAACATGCATATCTTCCAGACCACTCTCATGCCTTAGGGCAACACAGGGCCAGGCAGCAATTGGGATGGAGTCACTCCGTAGCTTTTGAAGAAAGCTGTTGGGCTCTGGCTTTCGGCCCAGGTGTATTGTAGCTAGACTGCATTTGCCCCAAATCCTACAGTGTTGCTATAAACTATCTAAACCAAAATATACACCTAACTTCTGGCCAGCCTATTTTACCAGAAGCCACAAGAAACTTGTATTTTATAATCCTTAAGGATACGTATTCAATGAACTATGATCCATTTTAGAAATAATGCATAACTTCCCCTTAAGGCTGCAGCATGAATGAGGGTAGAAGGGAGAACAGCACTGAGGCAGATAGTTTTAAATTATGTATATAGTGCCCAAATGCTGCATACACAGGAAATCTAAAGTGGGAGAATTAAAACATTTCCTCCAAGTAAAAGTTCTGTAGCATTTCATTATTCCTCTTTTTTTCTTTCTAGGTGCTAGACAACACCGGTGATCAGTCCCACAAAATGCCAACTGATCGCTGTGCTCGGCTTACACTGGTCAGCATGGTAAATGATCTGAAAGAAGCCTGGGTCAGCGATCACCCATACCTAGCAGTCTGCTACCTCTGGCAATACGCACCCACCTGGGCATGGTGGCTTCTGAACAAGATGGGTAAAATAAGAATAAAGAACTTCAAGAGTGGAGTGGTAAGCCCTTCCTAAAAGGGGTGGTTTTGTATAGCCTTTAATTTCTCTGTATAGACTTCAGCCATCAATGCAGGCTGTATTCTGGGTTTACTAATCTTCATCCCTGATCACTACCAACTTTCACACTACATGAGAATATACATAGAGCTCTGTGCTGACACACACAGTTTGTATCTGTATCTACAAAAATGAGCCATGGATATCTGCATTGACATTCATGGATGTGGATACCCACAGATTTGCAGGATTCTAGATGCAAAAATTTGTATCCGCATCCAGAGCCTCAAAAATTAACTGCAGATGCGTGCATTCAGATGTGGGTAGCCACAGATAATAAAGTAGATAGAGCCCTGCAAATCCACAGCTAACTGTACAGCCTCATAGGTTATATTGTTGATCAAGCAGAAGAACAGTGAAGTCAGTATTCTTATGAAAAAACATTTCATCTCAAGTTTATCTAGCCTGCACTGCAGATGTGTATCCAGCTCTGAATATACATAGTACTTCTTACCTGTACTTTGCCTTGTCCCTACTAGATTTAAAATGACCTGAGCAATATATTTGGAATTGAGACAGGCTATCAGTCTTAATTCCTCTAAGTTTTTGCTTGTCACATACTTCAATTTGTCTGAAGCAAAAGCCTCATTTAGGTGGAAAAACCTCTGAGAGAGGTTATGCACGGTACAGTCCAGCAGCAAAAGTTAATCTCATATGCACACTGAAAGCTGGTCTTTCTGCACAAGTGTATTGGCAGGCAGTGTTCCCTCTAACATTTTCCATCCGTGAGCAGAATGAGTTTTGTGTACCCATACTGAGGTCATGTGCACTTGTTTGGATATGTGCCCCCACTGCACCCACCAGTTATGTTATGGAAGAAAGAATTCTAAACCAGCCCTTTCCCAGTTACAAAGAATAAAAAGAGCTAAGTCAAATCAGAACTTGGACCCAAGCAGCCTTGTTGTTATGACTGACCCTAACTGCCACTGTACTGAACTGTACCATCAGGTAAAAAGACATCACTCCCCACCCCATCTGTACTGAACTGTACCATCAGGTAAAAAGACATCACCCCCCATCCCACCACACACACACCTACCTGCAAAGTTTGAACAATAAGCGGTTTTCCTTAAAGATGTGTCCTGCAAAGTTTGAACAATAAGCTGTTTTCCTTAAAGATGTGAGCAATGCTGCTACACAACACCAGTAATAAATGGTGGCACAAGCCCCCAGCAATCAAACCTCTATTCTTCCCCTCAACTAGCACCGGCTGTCTTCAGCTCTAATGGCTCATCCTAGTGGAATTATGAAATGCATAGGGGCTGCATAGCAGGCAACAGGGCCATATGTTTACAGTGTTGTCTAATATTTGAGGGCCATCTTACCACATTTTAGGGATTAAGTTTCAAAACAAACCTGGGACTAGACAAGAGACAAAGGAGCGGGGTCCCTGCCCCCAAGAACATCCGATTAGATTTATTTTTGCTACCAGGCTCTCATCTTTCCAAGCCCTGAGTGTTGGGCCACTCATTCAGTCCAGCCCCATGTCCTGATCTCCCTGACCCCAGGGCAAAGGATGAGCTGGTAGTTGCTGGAGTGTGTCTGTGGCAGGGGCCAGCCAGGGACGATGCCAGAAACCAGCAGCCCAATCCAGAGTGAGCAGCACTATGTGGACATGCTGCCTCCAAAGTAAGGGCTGGGCATTGACTCCTTGGCTGCCACCATGTCCTGCTCCCAGGTCCCATCCAACGGGAGCATCCACAAGCAGCTCTGGCCTCTAGAACAGCTATCATCTGCCATAGGGCTCCAGCTCTGGCCAGGGTCACTGGAACAGCGGCAGCTAGCTATGGGGCTCTGGGGCTGCTGGAACAGCTGCCCCCTACCACGCAGCCTGCAGCTCCAGCCCTAGAGAAAGGCTGAAGCTAAGGCCATGGCTGTATGGTGGCTGCTTGGGGAGGGGGACAACCACCCTCCACGGGCCCCGCCCCAGAGCAGCTAAACAGCCACTGAATAGCCCTGTGGAGGAAGGCAAGGTGGAGCTTCAGAGTCTCAATGCACAGATGAGACAATGGTGTATAGAGGAGGGGTTTAGATTAATTAGGAACTGAAGAAGCTTCGGGCATAGTGGGGGCCTATACAGGAAGGATGGGCTCCAGCTGAACCACAATGGAACCATTGCTGGTACTTAACATTAAAAACTTTTCTACAAACTTTTTAAAATTAGGATGGGGGAAAGCTGAGGGGTGTGGAGGAGCACATGGTTGGACAGAGACATCTCTTAATAGACCCACCTCTCTGCCTGGGGTGGGCAACAATTTTTGATGGGGGGGGGGGAACTGCAAGATTTTGAAAAGTGGTCAGGGGCCACACTTTTCCATTATGTTAATGGAGATGCAAGGTTTGGAATGGAGGCTGGGTGCAGAAGGGAGCTTGGGGTATAGGACTGGAGTGCAGGAGACTGGAGTCTGGGAGGAAGTTGGGATGAAGATGGTTGTCCTAGAGAAGGGGACTGGAGTGCAGGGATTTGGGAAGTGGCCTAGGGTAGGAGGGGCTTGTGATCTGGGGCAGGAGATTGGGGTGCTAGATTTGGGAGGGGGTATGGGTATGTTGAGGGTAGGGGGCAGATGATTGGGGCAGAAAAGGGCTGGGGTGCCAGAAGCAGGCTGTGGCCAAGAGTCTTATTTGTCAGCTGCCAAACTAGCCTGCCTGGCCATGTACTTCATGAATAACTGAGCCCTGGAGAGGGGGCGTGATTCTTCTGAGCTGCTTGTTGTTCTAACAAGCAGCTCCCATTGTCCGGTTTCTGCCAGAAACCGGCCAATGGGAATATGCTGGGGGCAGGGATGCTCCTAAACTTCCCATCCAGTTTCAAAACAGAAACAGAGCCCTGCAGCCGCTTTTCTGCACAGTGCATGTGGCTGTGGGGCAAGCTGGGGGTGGGACCCGGTGGCTTGGCAGGCTACATTTTGCCCAGGTCGGCTCTGGGTTCTAGTCAGGAGGAGAGGATGGACGTATGGGTCACATCAGATGAGACACAATGAAAAGAGAATCTAATACATCAGCAAATGGTAGACAGATAAATAGTGACATTTTTAAAGTGCTTATACCAAATGCTAGAAATCTAAATAACAAAATGGGTGAACTAGGCTGTGTCTACATTGGCAAGATTTTGCCACCTGTCTACACTGGCCGCGAGTTCTTGCACAAGAACACCGACGTTCTAATGTAAGAAATCAGTGCTTCTTGTGCAAGAACTCTGATGCCTATGCTCAGGAATAAGCCGCCAGTGTAGACAGGCAACATGAATTTCTTGTGCAAGAAAGCCCAATGGCTAAAATGGCCATCGGAGCTTTCTTGTGCAAGAGAGCATCTACACTGGCACGGATGCTTTTGTGCAAAAGCACATCTCTTGCGCAAAAGCACATGCCAGTGTAGACGCTCTCTTGCGCAAATATTTTAACGCAAAAACTCTTGGTTAAAAGTATTTCCGCAAAATCTTGCCAATGTAGACGTAGCCCTGGCGTGCCTAGTTTTAAAGGAGAATATTGATATAATAGGCATCATGAAAACTTGGTGGAATGAGATCAATGGGATACACTCATACCAAGGTACAAAATATATCTGAAGGAGAGAACAGGTCATGCTGGTGGGGGAGTGGCACTATACGTGAAAGAAAATGTAGAGTCAAATGAAGTAAAACTCTTAAAGGATCCAAAATGTTCCATAGAATCTCTGTGGATAGTAATTCCATGCTCCAATACTAAGAATATAGCAATAGGGCATATTTACCACCTGATCAGGACAGTGACTATGAAATGCTAAGGGAGATCAGAGAGGCCATCAAAATAAAAAACCTCAATAATAGTGGGGGATTTCAACTATCCCCATATTGACTGGGTACATGTCACGTCAGGCTGGGATAGAGAGATAAAATTTGATACCGTCAATGTGTTTCTCGACCTTTTTTTATAAAGTACTCCTTTAAAAAAAGTAACCCCAGTACCTACAATTTTCAGAGAATTTTTTTCTGCCATTGCAATACATTTGTTTAAACAACTTGTAGCCGCTGGGTGGTGAAATTTTTGAGTGAAAAAAGAAACACTGTAAAACTTACATTTAGTTTTCTCCAAACTTCAGTTGTTGACATACCCCCGAGTTCTCTTGAGTATCCCCCTAAAGGTGCTCACACCACTGGTTGAGGAAACACTGCCATAAAGGACTGCTACTTGGAGCAGCTAGTTCTGGAACCCACAAGAGGAGAGGCTGTTTGATTTAGTCTTAAGTGGAGAACAGGATCTGGTTCAAGAAGTAAAGATAAACAAATAGGGAGGAACTAGTTGAGAACTTGAAAGTGGAAGACAGTATGGGGGACAGTGATCATGAAATAGAGTTCATGATCTTAAGGAAAGGTAGAAGGGAGACCAGCACAATTGAGGTAATGGATTTCAGGAAGGCAGATTTTGATAAGCTCAGAGAACTTGTAGGTAAGGTCCCATGGGAAGCAAGACTGAAGGGAAAAACAACTGAGGAGAGTTGGAAGTATTTCAAAGGGACGTTGTTAAGGGCCCAAAAGCAAACAATTCCGCTGTGTAGGAAAGATAGAAAATATGGCAAAAGACCAGCTTGGCTTAACAAGGAGATCTTGCATGATCTCAAAATAAAAAAGGAGTCATATAAAAAATGGAAACTAGGACAACTAACAAAGGATGAATATAGGCAAGCAACACGGGAATGCAGGGGCAAGATTAGAAAGGCAAAGGCACAAAATGAGATCAAACTAGCTACAGGCATAAAGGGAAACAAGAAGACCTTTTATAAATACATTAAAAGCAAGAGGAAGACCAAGGACAGGGTAGGCCCACTGCTTAGTGAGGAGGGAGAAGCAGTAACAGGGAACTTGGAAATGGCGGAGATGCTCAATGACTTCTTTGTTTCGGTCTTCACCGAGAAGTCTGGAGGTGTGCCTAACGTAGTGAATACAAGCAGAGAGAGGGTAAGTTTAGAAGATAGGATACACAAAGAACAAGTTAAAAATCACTTAGGAAAGTTAGATGTCAGCAAGTCACCAGGTCCTGATGAAATGCATCCCAGGATACTCAAGGAGCTGATAGAGGAGGTATCTGAGCCTTTAGCTATGATCTTTGAAAAATCATGGCAGACAGGGGAGATTCCAGAAGACTGGAAAAGGGCAAATATTGTGCCCATCTATAAAAAGGGGAATAAGAACAACCCAGGAAATTATAGACCGGTCAGTTTAACGTCTGTCCCAGGGAAGATAATGGAGCAGGTAATTAAGGAAATCATATGCAAACACTTGGAAGGTAATAAAGTGATAGGGAATAGCCAGCATGGGTTTGTGAAGAACAAGTCATGCCAAACTAATCTGATAGCTTTCTTTGATAGGATAACGAGCCTTGTGGATAAGGGAGAAGCGGTGGATGTCATATACCTAGACTTTAGTAAGGCATTTGATACGGTCTCGCATGATATTCTTATTGATAAACTAGGCAAATATAACTTAGATAGGGCCACGATAAGGTGGGTGCATAATTGGCTGGATAACCGTAGTCAGAGAGTTGTTGTTAACGGTTCTAAATCCTGCTGGAAAGGGATAACAAGTGGAGTTCCTCAAGGGTCTGTTTTGGGACCCGTACTGTTCAATATCTTCATCAATGATGTAGATATTGGGATAGAGAGTACTCTTATTAAGTTTGCAGATGATACCAAACTGGGTGGGGTTGCAACTTCTTTGGAGGATAGGGACATAATTCAAAATGACCTTAGCAAGTTAGAGAAATGGTCAGAGGTAAACAGGATGAGGTTTAATAAGGAGAAATGCAGAGTGCTCCACTTAGGAAGGAACAATCAGTTCCATACATACAAGATGGGAAGCGACTGTCTAGGAAGGAGCATGGCGGAAAGGGATCTAGGGGTCATAGTGGACCACAAGTTGAATATGAGTCAACAGTGTGATGCTGTTGCAAAAAAAGCAAATATGATTCTAGGTTGTATCAACAGGTGTGTTGTAAGCAAAACTCGTGAAGTCATTCTGCCGCTCTACTCTGCACTAGTTAGGCCTCAGCTGGAGTACTGTGTCCAGTTCTGGGCGCCACATTTCAAGAAAGATGTGGAGAAATTGGAAAGGGTACAGAGAAGAGCGACAAGAATGATTAAAGGTCTAGAGAGCATGACCTATGAAGCCAGGCTTCATGAACTGGGCTTGTTTAGTTTGGAAAAACGAAGATTAAGGGGGGACATGATAGTGGTTTTCAAATATCTAAAAGGGTGTCACAAGGAGGAAGGCGAAAATTTGTTCCTCTTGGTTTCTGAGGACAGGACAAGGAGTAATGGGCTTAAAGTGCAGCAGGGGAGGTTTAGATTGGACATTAGGAAAACATTCCTAACTGTCAGGGTGGTCAAATATTGGAATAAATTGCCAAGGGAGGTGGTGGAATCTCCCTCTCTGGAGATATTTAAGAACAGGTTAGACAGACATCTGTCAGGGATGGTGTAGACGGAGCTTGGTCCTGCCTTGAGGGCGAGGGACTGGACTCGATGACCTCTCGAGGTCCCTTCCAGTCCTATAATTCTATAACTGGACCTCTTGGAAATCCTGACCATAAAGTAATAAAATGTAATAGCTCTGTGGTGGGGAAAAACACCTCAGCAGCACAGAAATTAGTAAGTTAAACAAATTTAAAAGTACAGAGACCAGAAAAATCTCTGCAAGCTGCATGGAAACTTTTCAAAGACACCATAATAGAGGCCCAAATTAAATGTATACCACAAATTAAAAAACATAGTAAGAGAACCAAAGTAGTGCCACCATGGCTTAACAACCAAGTAAAAGAAGCAATGACAGATAAAAAGACATCTTATAAAAAGTGGAAGTCAAATTGTAGCGAAGAAAGCATAGACTGTCAAATTAAGTGTAAAAAAAAATAAGCCAAAAAGGAGTTTAAAGAACAGCTAGCCAAAATGTAATAGCAAAATGTCTCCGATTGAGATATCATTAGAGGTGGTTTTGGAACAAATTGATAAATTTAATGGTATCAAGTCACCTGTACCAGATGGCATTCACCCAAGAGTTCTGAAAACTCAAATGGGAAATTGCAGAACTATTAACTGTGGTTTGTAACTGATCCTTTAGCTGTCTTCCAGTGATTAGGTACGGAAGTTGATTTAAAGTGACACCAATATTTAAAAAAGACTCTAGAGGTGATCCTGGCAATTACAGACTTGTAAGTCTGTCAGTACTGGGCAAATTAGTTGAAACTATAGTAAAGAATAAAATTGTCAGACACACAATCAACATGGTTTCTGTAAAGGGAAATAATGCCATACTAATCTGCTAGAGTTCTTTGAAGGGGTCAGCTAACGTGGACAAGGGGGATCCAGTGAATATAGTATACTTAGATTTCCAGAAAGCCTTTGACAAGGTCCCTCAACCATGGCTCTAAAGCAAAGTAAGTTATCATGGGATAAGAGGGAAGATCCTTTCATGGATTGGTAATTGGTTAAAAGACAGGAAACAAATTATAGGAATAAATGTTTTCTGAATGGAAAGGATCTGTCCTGGGACCAATCCTATTCAACTTATTTATAAATGAGTTATAGAAAGGGGTAAACAGTGAGGTGGCAAAATTTGCAGATCGCTATCTTGAGCATTTTGGTATCAAGACCAAAGCAGACTGTGAAGAGCAAAAAATATCTTAATGCCTTTATATAAAGCCATGATATGCCCACAACTTGAATACTGCATACAGACGTGGTCACCTCATCTCAAAAAAGATATATTGGCATTGGAAAAGATTCAGAAAAGGGCAACAAAAATTTAGGGGGTTGGAGGGATCCCATATGAAGAAAGATTAAAAATACTTGGATTTTTCAATTTAGAAAAGAGGAGATTAATGGGGGATCTATGATAGAGGTGTGGAGAAGTGAATAAGGAAAAGTTACCTATTTAGCAATGGGGGATCTATGATAGAGGTGTGGAGAAGTGAGTAAGGAAAAGTTACCTATTTAGTCCCACAATATTAAAACTGGAGGTCACCAAATGAAATTAATAGGCAGCAGGTTTAAAACAAGCAAGGGAACTTATTCTTCACTCAGTGCACAGTCAACCTGTGGAACTCCTTGCCAGAGGATGTTGTAAAGACCAAGACATTAACAGGATTAAAAAAAGAGCTAGATAGATTCATGGAGGTTAGATCCATCAATGGCTATTAGCCAGGATAGGAAGAAATGGTATCCCTAGCCTCTGTTTCTCTGGAGGTAGGTGACAGAGGAGGGATCACATGAGGATTTCCTATTGTGAACCCTCCCTCTGGGGCATCTGGTATTGGCTACTGTCAGCAGCCAGGATACTGGGCTAGATGAACCTTTGGCTGTTATGTTCTCAAATTTAGGATACTGGGCTAGATGGACCTTTGGCTGTTATGTTCTCAGATTCTTGGTGTGCACCTTAGAGGGAACACTGTTGGCAGTATCTGATCACATACTAATACAAGTAGAATGAGATTTTATTTAACTCCATCTTGTGCAAAGGATTTCCACACCTAAATGAAAGTAGAGTGAAGAAAAACATTGCTTAAAAGGTGTTTGTGTTCTTATTACAGGATGCTGATGTCTCCTATTCTCAGAAGAAGAAAGCTTGAGGAGGAACCTACACAACATCCCACTAAACCAAGCAAGTAATTGCATGTGGGAGAGGTTTCTGTCCTCTATTCATATATGTCAAGTTAAGGCCTCTGCTTTTTTAAAAATTCCTTAATACTCCTATTTTTTGCTATCATGTAACCTGACATGAAATTTTTTTAAAGAACATTTCCTAAATAAAAACAATCTGCTTTACTTTTGCAAGACCTTCTATTAATTCATTCCTTAAGTTTAATTTATTCCACTGGTAGGACAGGAAGCTTGTTGTGATCTTTCTGCTGATATGAGTTTCCCAAACCTTTAAAGGGTAGATACAAATCAAACTGTGTCGTTCTATTTCTACCATTCTCACATCTTACACTCCCCGGCCCAGATTCTTCCCTTCTTGGCACATGAAAATCCCTAGTCCCACAAGCTGGTTGCACCCTGCACTGACCTTCAGAACTAGTATCAACTGAGACAGAGGAAGGGAGGGGAAAGTCTATTGCTTCTGGAGGCTGTTCTAGAAAGGGGCAGTTCTGAGGCTGGATAACGTGTGCACACATCAGTTTGGAGGGGAGGGGAGCCAGCAGGATTATAGCTTTCCCCCACAGCCATGCACTGTTTAGGTTAGGGGAAGGCACTTCCTCTCTCTGTAGGTGGGAGAAGTAATTGTCTACACAGCACCCTAAACTTGAAATAACACACTGTTTCAAGCCATCCCTTGTGCAATGAGGGATACCAGGATGGCAAAATAGCACATGTCCATTATTTAGAAAAATATTTCAAAATAAGGGGCAATACCTCTGGGATCCTGAAATACCAGTGCAGTGTAGATATACTCTTAAGGCTACCTCTAGACTGGCATGATTTTCCGCAAATTCTTTTAACGGAAAAGTTTTCCGTTAAAAGCATTTGCGGAAAAGAGCGCCTAGATTGGCACGGACGCTTTTCCGCAAAAGCACTTTTTGCGGAAAAGCGTCCAA